TCTCCCCCATTTTTTCTCCTCTATTAGTATCCAAGTAGTTATATGTAAAGTTTTTAAAATAAAATAAATATTTAACTTCTCTTTGTTTTCATTGCTTATTTGATCATTCATTTTTAATTTTTTCCCTTTCATATTTTAGTTTTGACCAATGTTGTTTGATAATTGATTTGGCTGCTAAAATTAGAATATTTGAAGTTATCCAACATTTTGTATATTACTATAATCAGTGAGAGTAAAAATCCTTTCCTATTTCATATATGATATTGAATCTTGTAGGAAGAAAAAGCTAATTTTTTAGAATAAACAAATACCTTTATTAATTTTAAAACGAACCAAAAAAAAAAAAAAAAAAAAAAAATACTGCAGCTCTAAACTATCAAAATTTTAAACTGTTAACTACTGCAGTTAAACTCTTACAACTATTAAAAAATTAAAACATTCAACTCTCTAAACAAAAATATATAATAAAATCTTTCGAATCCTCTTCTTGTTGCCACCACCGTAAATGCAAGTTCTTGTCCTATTATTTATTTTTCACGTTCTCTTTAAGTCACGATCTTCACAAGTCATGATCTTTACAAGTCACGATCTTTACAATCTCCCCACAAAAGCACATTCGTCACCGTAGAGACAATGTTGCTCAGAGTTCATTGAGAGAGAAAGAGTTTAACAGCTAACCTGACAAGCATCAGCATTCCCATTGAACTTCCTTTGCGGTATGTCACAGTCATGTTATAACCGTTGAACGCTAAGGCCCAACGATACAGTTTAGCACCATGGGGCGCTTTGGGTCAAGTAGGTGAGGGGATTGTGATCAGACACAACTGCACTTTGGCACCGAAAATCCATGTGTCAAATTTTTTCAAGGCTTCGATGACACATACTGCTTCTCGTTCGAAAGGTTGACCATCGTTGTTGACAGGGCGTTAGTTTCTTGCTGAAAAATGCTATGGTCATTTCTTTTGTAAATGGCTTATCTTCATTATAATTCTCACCTATGGTAGGCAATCCTAGTAGCTGTTGGTCCTTATCATTCTTTCTTCTCTTCTATCTTTCCAATGGCTTTGTCAAGTAGCTAATACCATTCATCAATTGCTTCAGCTTCTATCAATTTTTTCAAATATGGGATTTCTGTTCTGTGCTTCGTGAAAGTCTTATAAACTAAAAAAAAATCTCAGCAATTTTTCTTCTGCTTTTTCTAATAATTCTTCATCAACATGATGTAGATTGTCTACCTCGGACTCGGGCTCTTCTATTAATTCAGCAATTCCTTCCGTTTCTTTCTCGTCTTCCAGTTTCTTCGCTTTCATTCATCCGAATAACTTTCTGTTCAATCTTCCATGTTTTCATTCACCTTTGAACTTGAGAGGTTTCTGTGGTTTTCAGTTTCATTGTGGATGACATTTTCCTTTTCAGTTTCAACTTTTGTTGTATAATCCACACTTTCTTTTTGATCTCCCAGTTCAACAATATCTATGCTGTCCTTATTGTACTTTTTCTTTCTGTTATCATCCAGAATTTCTTTTTCAGTAAATTGTAATAGTTCACTGTTATCTGCAAGTTTATTTTCAGTTTCAAGATCTGCAGCTTCTGTATGATTTACATTTTCATTTTCAGTTACTAAGTCAGCTTTCACACTTTCCTTATGGATTATTAAGTCATTCCTTTTATCATCTACTTTTTCCTTCTCGTTTCCAATTTCAGCAATATATTCTTTCTCTTCCATGTTCTCATAATCAAGATTTACTTGAGTTTTATTTTCATTGACAGTTTCTTTTTCAACTGGGATTTCAGTCTCACCCATAAATTTGCTTTTACTTTCAGGTGGAATAATTTCTACATATGCTATTTTGCTGTCAATTAACTTTTCCTCTTTGAGTTCATCTTCTGTTTCTACCCTCTTAGTTTCTTCAGTTATAATTTCTTCCTTCTTCCTTCTGTGCTTTCTTGTTCAACAATTTTATCTTCTATCATTTCTGTTTTCTCTATTTCTGTAAAGGGCAGTTCTTTACAACTTTCACAGAATTTTTTAACATCTTGCTTAATAGTAGCCAAAAGAATGAGTACTTGATTCGTTGAATTGTCTTTTTCTCACCGAGGTGGCCGGCAAGAGGGATTTTCGTGTGCCATTCTTAGGACTTCCCTTCTTTTTTCTAAAGGTAATACAACTTGCTTAATGTTTTCACCACAGATATATTCGGAATGAAGTAATATGCCATCATCGAAAGTATATGAATTTTGATTTTTATTTGCCCATTCAAAGCATTTTTTTCAGAGTTTCGTCTTGTTCTTGATGTGTCTTGAATTCTAGTCTTACCTTGTTCGTTGTTTTCAGAGACTCTATGTTTTCTTGGGAAATCTGATTAACAACAGCCAAATTTGTAGTAATGTCTTCAACTGGTGAGGGTTTATCATCTGTCTCTTTGTACTCTAAGGGGGATGCATCCCAATGACGATCACAGTTCCACAGTTCGATATTTCCACAGAGTGTTTCATAAGCTGAAGAACTCAATAGCAAGTCGGTAACTAGCTTTTTTGAAACAGCACACGTAATGGACACTCTACCGTGAAAATCATCGTCAATTTTCATCTGGAAAATCTTTAGTGGAGTAATTTCGTTTTCACACCAAAAGCAGAAGATATCTCTATTTTACTTTCTCCTTCGCAAGGTATGTTGTCAACCAATTTCTCACGGACTACTACTGAAATTTGTGCTCCCGTGTCTACGATTCCATTTAGAATAATATCTCCACATTTAACTTTGACCAGTTTTAATTCATCTATGTTTCTAGATACGTCTACTGATTTTGAGACAGGAATAGAGATCTTGGCAGTTAGCACTTCTGGTTTTTTTTTTCTGCTAGGGGTGCTTGTGTTTTTTGTATTAAGTTGTTTTGTGCTGTTGCAGAAGCACTTCTTGGTATCCCGATTTTTGGTACATAACTTAGATGTATGACCTTCTTTTTCCACAATTATAGCAAGTTTAATTTGAAATTAGTCTTTTGTGGTTCGTCACTCTTACGGGATGGGTACACTCTTGGCGTGTTTTCAGCGTACAGCGATTTATTTCTGAAAGCTCTTTCTGGAAGTGGAAACGAGGTTGCCATTTTTTATTAGTTCTGTCTGCTGATGGATTACCACCATTCTGTTTTGAGATATTACGAACACTGTCATATTCGTCAAGTTTATCAGCTAATTTGGTTGGAGAAACGAATTTCGCCCAGTCGTCCAGAAGATGGTCTCTTACTTCATAGGGTACTCTTTTCTTAATTTGGTCAGTAATAATCAAGTCTTTTAACGCGGCAAAATTTGTGATTTCAAGACCATTGATCCATTCTTCAAAATAACTTGTAATTTCGTAGCAAAAATCTCTCCATGATTTTTCAGCGCTCTTTTGGTGCATCACAAATTTTTTTCTAAAGCTTTCAGGATTTAATTTAAATCTCTTCAATAAAATGGCCTTAATGTACTCATAATCTTCAAAATTTTCTTCAGATTCCCTACCAATTAATTGAATGATTTCAGATGGCATTAAAGTCAATAAACATGAAACCCAATCTTTAGGATTAATCTTTGTCCTTTTAGCTTGTCTTTCAAATAAGGATAAATAAATCACAATATCATCGTGTCTTAAATTGAATTTGGGAATAAGCTTAATTAAATCAAAATTATGATGTCCATTTTCATTTGTTGGTGGAGTTTGTGTTAGTCGAACACGAGATTCAATTTCGAGTTTCCTCAATTCAAACTCCATTTGCTCTCTTTTCTGCTGTGCTTCTAATTCTTCTTTCCTTCGCCTTTCCTCAAGCTCTTCTTTCTCCTTTCTTCGCTGTTCCTCAATCTCTTCTTTTTCCTTTCTTCGCTGTTCCTCAATCTCTTCTTTCTCCTTTCTTCGCTGTTCCTCTCTTCTTTCTTTTCCTCTCTTCAATAATCGTTAAAAACACTTCTTTAGCAAATGCTTCATCATATGTATCACTTTGAATTATTTCATTTTTTATCGCCACGATTTTCATACTTGGATCTACTTGAATTTCTAATTCAGCAGCTAAAGCCAGCAAATCCTCTTTTTTTCCCACGTCCCATAAAAGCCATGTCTCGATTTTATTCAGCCAATAGACTCTTAGTTTTATGAAAAGCTATTTTTTTTCTTTTCTTTTTCTATTTAAATATAATTCACAATGAATTTAATTTTATTCGACACACGAAATCAATCAGTAGAATCAATACTTAATGTGTTGTTCACCTACTCTGGCGAGTCAAACGAAATTACATTTGAACACTGGCGTATTCATTACTTTGAAAATTACATTTGAACACTGGCGTATTCTTTTGAAAATTACTTTGAACACTGGCGTAATACTTTGTAAATTACATTTGAACACTGGCGTATTCATTACTTTGAAAAGTAAATAAACTAAGATTCCATGACGGAAACAATAATTAACTTTCCATAATCTTAATTAACTATTTTACGTTTCCAAGGTAAATTGAGCTCTCACCTGAGTTATTTTGGTTCGTAATTATATGCGGGGAAACTCCGATCCTACCGGCTGCGCCAGTAAAAATCCTTTCCTTATTTCAATATAATGAATATTGAATCTTGTAGGAAGAATAAAGCTAATTTTTTAGAATAAACAAAATACCTTTATTTAAATTTTAAAACAGAACCAAAAAAAAAAAAAAAATAAATACTGCAGCTCTAAACTATCAAAATTTTAAAACTGTTAACTACTGCAGTTAAAACTCTTACAACTATTAAAAAAATTAAAAACATTCAACTCTCTAAACAAAAATATATATATAAAAATCTTTCGAATCCTCTTCTTGTTGCCACACCGTAAAATGCAAGTTCTTGTCCTATTATTTATATTTCACGTTCTCTTTAAGTCACGATCTTCACAAGTCATGATCTTTACAAGTCACGATCTTTACAGTGAGTGTTTAATAGCAGTAAGTGGAATCTTGCCACACTTTAGTATTTGTACAAGTTCAGTGTTACCAATCACATGATGTCAAAAAATAGTGTGCTTCTCCAGGAATAGAAAGGTATCCTGTTATGTCTTAATGTTAAAACAATTATTATTAATCTATTCTTTATGATGTATAGTACATTTATGTAAATGTTCATTGTGTTATGCATTTAGATAGTTAGTCCATCATGCTATGTATTTAGATTTCCAGCACTTTTATTTCCCTCTAGGGTTTTCAAACTTGTGAATAATGTCGTCTGATAAATTGAGACTTGAAAAGTTGGGGATATTTGAAGATGAAGATGGTTCTCTTAGTAAGTGTTAGTTGTTAGGTAGATTAATACTTTCATATTCTAAAACAATGTTGCTTAATAATCTGTTTCATGTTTTAAAATATTTTACTAATCATAAATTATTACCTTCTTTTTTATTTTATGAGTTTTGAGACAAATCGTTTTGTCTAATTTATTTGTTTAAGTCAGGGTTTAATTTCTGAAATTAGTAATACCAAAGTCCTATGGGTGACCATAAAGAAAGAGGAAAATAAATAGATAAATAAAATAACTCATAAAGTAGCAAAATAATTAATTAATTAAAAGTCAATAAAATGCAAAAAGATAAAACAAATTTAATAAGTTATTAGGAATTATGTAGGAAATTAATGGTAAATAATTAGATAATAAAAGGAAATACTAGACCTCGTCTTATTTGAGGTTCCTGCTGGAATTACAATTTCACTCAAAAACTAAGAAGTAGCTGAATTGGGTTATGACTGATTCATTCTATTTCCAACACACCAATGAAAAAAAAAAAAAAAAAAAAATTAAACAGTTGAAGCATCACTAATGAGAATAAAGAGAATGCTTAAACAGTAAGTATGGAGTATGGAGGAAATTTTAATGGAGAATATGTAGGTATGAAAACAAAGAGAAAAGTGTCCCACAATCTCTGACCATGATTCGTTGCCTGTATAATTCTAGCTGTCAAGCAGAATGTGACAGGGAAAAAAATTTCATCCTGAATCTGAGGGTTAGCTGAGAACAAAGTAACAAATAAATCTTTATCTGCTATCATAATTTCATTGCACTTTCTGAAGAATAAACCTTTGTCATGTAGGTGAAGGCTTTTCTTTCCTTAAAAGTCTCAAAGTTCCAAAATTTGTTTTCCAGGGAAAGAGAAGACATTCAAAAGTTAGAATCAATTATTAATTTAACTTTCTTATTAAAATGAAATTTTTGATATCAAAAAATTTTATGCTGAAATTGAGATTCAGTAACATAAAAAAAGTGCTGGAGGACTCCGATACACTCCAGCTAGAATTACGATATATCTAAAAAATTAACCCTTTGATGCGCGCGATATTATTTTTATAATCTTTTAACTAAAATCTCTAGGAATTGAATATTATGATCTTAGAGACAAATAATATATAAATTAAAAAAATCTACTATTGCCCATTGTTCTGTGGGTGGTGGTCGCAATGTGAAACCACCGTGCGTCTAGGACTTTCGAACCTACCTAGGTAGTAGGGGAAAAAACTTTCCTTTCTCCGCGCGCGTTTCCAATAAATGACGAAAGTGATGAATTTTACAAAAAATGTATGTAAGAATTGCATAATATATAATTTTTTTACATTATTTTTTGAAGTAAATCGCCAGAAAAAATTAAAAAATAAACTTTTATGCCACTTTTCTATAGCAGTGAAAATATAAGTACCTACATAATAAGGACGTTTGGCTAAATGGACATAATAAGGACGTTTGGCTTAAAAACTCAGTAAAATAAGGATAAGAAAAAGACTCAGTGTTTTTTTTTTTGTGACACTGTTCAAAGCATGTTTTGTCATTTTGGTACATGCATGCACGTTTCGCACATGTATCTTCTTCTATGAGATTTCTTCCTTGTGCTACAAAATGTACACTGGCTGGATCTAAATTTGACTGGTATATGTCCAACATTATTTAATTTCTTTTCATCTGGCACATGAAATTTTTGGGTTTTTTTATGTTAATAGGGGGGCTTAGTTTTTTTGGCTGTGGTATATGTATGGATCATTCGTTTCCCATTCATGCTTATTTTATTCGTATTTCGTCCCAAAATTTTCAGAAAATATTTTTTAATTTAAATAAAACATTGCACGATTTATATTTTTAATTATGCCAAAGTATATTTACATTAAATTTAAACCACAGGAAATAATTTATAAAATCACAATACTAGCTTGGAGAGCGTGTTGAGAAAGTCTCTGGAAAAGAAAGACCTTTTTACTGGTGCATGTATTCTTTAGTAATAAAACAGCTCTGTGGTTTTGAAACCCCTTATCTATATCCAGGTAATAATAAACATTCCTATTTGAGAAGCAAGTGAATGCCATTATGAAGAGCACTGGTTTCAAGGCGTGACCACCGAGCCTCGAGAGGATTGTGCGCATCGTGACACAATGCTCTAGTGGTGCAGTGATCGCACCCTGAAACCACAAAGCAAATGCCATACATATAGATGTTTTTTTATATATTAAATTATTGCTATTTTTTATTGTTTATGATAGAAATTATGATGTGCAATGAATAACTTTTGAAATTTAAAGTTGTTTTTATATTAATAAAAGGAAGTTATTTTGTCTCGTTGAAAACGAATTTTAGAGGCATCCGATTTGAAGTACTAAGACCTAAAACATGTATGATTCTGTCATTTTGTGTTATTTAGAGGTAAAATATCAGTAATCAATTGATTTTTACTCAAAAATTTCGGAAGGAAGAAGAGAAAAAAAATTCAAAAATTGGTGGTTTCAGGGCGCAACCACCGCACGTCAAAAGGTTAAAAAGTACCAGCGTTGGGTTCCAGCACAGTTGAAGCTCTGGTTTAAGTACTTGAATATGTAAATTTTATTCCAGATTTAGAAAACTAACTGTAGAGGAAAGTTACAGATTTTTAAAATAAGTGTGAGAAATTCATTATTATCAGATAGCTTATATGCAAATATAGTATTTGGTTTCCCTTCTCTTTTAACAGTGTGCAGTGTTAAAGTTCAGAATTATATGTTTATAAATTTAGTGGATTATCATTAAAGATACTGATGGTACACCATTAAAGCTATACCACTTAGTGCATTTTCTGTTTTGGCATATTTGCCAGTTGTGATGAGTTTGGTTTGGCTCTTTTCCCAATGATAATTGTCTTTAAAATTATCACTTGTGTGATCATGTTTTTTACCTAATCAGTCTTCCCCCCTGTTTTCAACTGCAATGCAGCTTGTGTCTTTGGATTTGCCAAAAGATGATGAAGCAGCCATCTTGTACCTTTAACAAAGAGACATTCTTCACAGAGTTTGTGTTCTCTCATGGAATTAAAATGCGACTTTAAGCCAAAATGGCTAAGCAGCCTTGTTTCATGTGAGAAAGAAGTATGGAGCACAAACGTGATTTATTAGGTCACACATTCCAATTTCCTTATGATGTCTGGAGGTGACATCGAACAAGTTTTGTGGACTAAAATTTACTTTAATTGAATCACAACATAACAATTAATTGGAATAACATAAGAAGATATATGTCAGTTCCTTGTTATCTTGTCTTAATGTTAAAACAAATAGCTGAAACAAAATTGTAGAAATAAATGAAAATTTATTTCAAAAAGCAAAAAATAATGTACTATATGTTCTTCCTACATAATGGGTTTTTTGAGGATTTTTTTCATGTAATCAGAAAATATTGCTTGTTGCTGTTACTGATCATTCCATTTCAATTGTCTTTAAAATTGTAAATTTAAAATTTAATTTTAAAATTGTAATTTGTATTGAGTCAAAGATGAAGGAAATATGCCAAACTGCAATTGTCTGATGCCAAAAATGTGTAGTATGGCTTTAACTGAAAAGTATCCTAGTAATATAGAATTAAACTATTATAATATTTTCCTGTTAAATATAAATTCTTTCCCTTTGAAGTTGAAATTAATTTTAGAATAATGTAATTTTTTAAAATCTTTTTTTTTTTGAAATTTTATTTAGCTGTTCTTTTATTGGATTTTAGTATGATTGTTTATTTTTGTGGGTGGAAGATTTCTGTACTTAATTGGTAAATACTATAATAAAGCATAATCTATTAAAATAATGTCTTCCAATTTATGTTCTTAAAACACATAGTTAATCAAAGTATATCATTGCAGTATTTAATCTGTACTATGTAAATCTGAACACATAGCAAAAGGTACAGGTAATAAGCATTTGCAAAGTAGTACATTCTGTAAATATCTTTTTCAACAAAAAAGTTCATTCAGTAAAAATTATTTTAAAAACATTTCATGACTACAACAATGAATAATTGTTATTGTTTAGTATTTGATTTCCTATAATTTTATTATTAACTTGTATTTTGGCCTACATATCAACTTTTATTTTCATTTGAATTGTTTGGTTGGAAATTCATTGTAGCAACCTGAAAAGGGACTCCCCCCTTTTTTTTTACTTTTCGGCTCAAATTTGAACTCTTTACTAACTAAGTTAATTATTATTTGTTTAATTCATTCAAAATTGATGCCAACTGTAAAGGTTAAGATGCCATTATATAATGGTACGTGTTTGCCTTCCAGCCATATATATATGAAAAAAGAGTGGAAACTGATAATCAAAGCAAACCGTAAATTTTGCTATTTTTAGTTTTTCTAGTATTCTGAGGCTAGCTTTGCCTTGGCTATAGTAAGAGATTGGCTACAGTCACAGTGTAGGAGCTCAGAACGCCTATTCTAGGCTGTGAGAGTCGGCAGCAGTTTGTGGGCTGCCAGATGTCGCTGCTAGTGAAAAACAGGTCTACCCGACATCCCATATTCTCTGAGTACAGAAGTCATCGGAAGCGCAGGGAAAAGTGTTGCCCCGTCATCAATCAGGCTTGTCCACTTGATGTTCTAAGTAGACAATGGCTTTGTATGTGTTTTCGCCCCTAATTTTTTCGTATTTAAACGAAGAATACGGTCTCTGAATCGGTGGCGAATTTATAGAAAATATGTTGATGCTTTTGCTCTACTAGAAGATGTTTTCATTGCGTATTTCAGATTGCCAAAATTTATAGTTATTTTAATTTTGCGATGAATTGACAGAGTATTTGGAGCCACATTCAGAAAACAAGAACGTAATTTCTACTAAAAGAAAGGTTATTTATACTATTCCTGAAATTATAAATTATATGCTTTAAAAATTTAGAAGATAATAAGTTTATCAAGCACATAAACCGTCTTCATTTAATACAAATGTAGACATTTGATAAGCTTCTACTCGATTTATGTACAGCAAGAATTACGTTTATTTTAAAATCTAACAGTTGAATATCATATGAACAAAAAAAGGAATGTCTTTCATTATTAAGCAAAATTCACACTACTGTAAAATAAAAATGAATATATTGTAATATCTTGTTATTTAATAAATAAATATAATTATTGTTGAAGTGGCAATGCCATATTTGTAAAAAACCGTTACTCAGCTACGTGAGATATTGTTTTAAAAAAAAGATTAGGTTTCTGAAGATTTTAACAACTAGGAGTAGTATGAAAATTTTGCCACTTAAGAATTGTATAAAATTTGTCTATCACCGTGTCTAGAAATAAAATTTATGTTCTACTAAGAAGATTGTCTGTTTTGTAAATTACTGCAAAATACATTACAATATATATATATATATATATAAACTATAAAATACCTTTATAATATTTTTTCCGTAGGCAGTACTACTACTAGTGTGATACTTTTAAAAATAATTTTTAGACCAGAAGGGCTATTAATTTTGTTTTGCCATTTTGTGGCGTTTCACTTTTCAAATTGTTGCAACCAAATATTATCGCACTGTATTATATTTAAAGAAATTAAATAATGAAGAATCTGCATAAATGTATGAATGTTTCTCGCACTGTGATAAAACAACGGTACCTAGAGCCATGAAATTTTGAATAACGTAATCCTCTATCCTAATACAGTCAGAAGTCGTTAATCCGGACTCGTCGGGACTTCGGCGGACTTTTATAAAATTGCTCTAACATTCTGCAAAAAATAATAAGGTAGATCCAATTTGAAGATTAAGGAACAACGCAATCTGCAACATTAACTGAGATAATTTTAGCTTAGCTTATACCGTTCGTTAGACATTAAACGCGCATGCGTAAACGTATTGTGCGCATGCGCACACGCATATTCGCAGCCGTAAATGTCTTACGCGCACATGTAAACATGCGTCAAGTTGACGCATGCGCAGAAAGTTTGTAGCTTTGATGTCCGGATGATGGGTGTCCGAATTAACGACTTTTGACTGTATAGGCATGTGGAGGCACAAATTTGGAACTGGGAATTTGTTTTATTATCTATTTCATATTTTGTAAGGCATTTATGAGTGTTTGATTAAGAAACTCAAAGATGTCAAAGCGAGCAAAGGCAACATTGTACGGGGGAGGGATTTTAATCTCTAGTGCGTGAGACTATGTATCAGAAATTCTAAAGATATGCTTTTTTTAAATTATATGATATTACTGTTGAATTGATATTTAATAAATAAAGGTAAAACGCAAAACGTTTAAAAAAAAAAAAAAAAAGACCCTTTGGGAGTAATATAAAATCTGAAGGCTTTCTTTTTCCCCCCTCCTCCCCCCTTTTTTTGTGTGTAATTTTATTATGTTTTAAAACTGGTTTCTAAGGGAATTTCTGAGGAAAACTGGCTCATATACACGTTACACATGGGGAAAGCCACGAAAATGCCGATGCGGCCAGCTCGTTTGCGAGATTCGCACCTCAGACCAAACTACCTGCATTCAGCGACTCTACCACTCGGCCGCTGATGGGCTTATTAGCAGAATTATACTGCATTATTATTGTATCATGCTATAAAGTAACAATGCTATAAGACTGAGGATTTGTTCATGAAATAGTACTTTTGTAATCTATTAGTATTAAAAAATCATTGTTTCTTTGCAGACTTTAAAAAATATATATATATATACTATTCATAGCAGAGTTCTCACTTTTATATTGTAAAAGAGATATTGATTATTATTAGTTTTCTATTTAATGTGTCAAAACGCTGGTTTGACAAGGAATTCAACTGCAGGAGACCTACACTGATTATTTTTACTTTAGTACTTGCATTGTGAAAATAATATTACTATCTTTTAATTATTTTCACAGAATAAAATCTTTTGAGAAGGAAAAATATTTAAAATAAGCACTTCTTATATATATAAGAAATTAAAATAACAGCAATGTAATATTAAAAAAAAATTATTAGTAATTGTGAGACAAAAATTGCAATACGAATTAATGACACATACAGGATAGATTAGTATATTTTTGGTTATATATTTTATATTGAAAAAATATTTTCTTTCATGTTAATTATAGAATAAATTATTTAAAGTAAAATATTTGATGCATGTGTGATAGCTGAATGCAGCAGCAATCGGCCATACTGTAATAGCGAATGAATTTTATTTCTTTTCCTGAAATAATTTTCATAGAAACAGAAAATAAAAAAAGGAAGAAACATTAAGAAAGAAATATTTTCTTTCTAATTTCTTACTTAAAGAAATATTTTTTTAATATTAATTGTAAAATGAATTGCGTGAAAACATAGTTTTAATAAAACCATGAAAAAAACAACAAAAAAAAAAAAAAAAAAAAAAAAAAACTTAGTCTGCTATTAGATTGTAATGCAAATTAGTAATCATATTATAAATTTAAATGATTAAAATTTTTTATTTCTAAAATTATTTGAAGTAAGCTTAATTCATTTGCTCTTATCAATTTACTGTTGCTTTAATGGTATCCCACATCACTCTTTATTTCTTATCCCTAAATTCCTGCGTTAGCTTCCCCCTTAAAAAACGGGATTTTCCTTTATAGCATATTCTGCTGCATGTTGATCATACTGTTTCGTGCCATTTTTTTCGAACTACAAATGCAGTGTGTGAATTAGTGAAATAATGGAAGAATATTCCTAGAACTTCAGCCAGCGCGCGCTATAAATTTCATCACTCGTCTGTACTGCGATTGGTCTAAAGCTCCTTGAAGCCTTGTCCCCTTTCAGTAAAGTCAAATAGACCCCCCGCCCACCAACTGAGGACCACGGAATGGCTTTCTCCGATAAGTTGTGATGGCTGTTCATATCGTTTTTTTTTAGTCAATATTGTTTCTCAAGTTGTAGACGGATCCAGTGATCCTAGAATAGGCATCCAGTTTTGAGTGCTGATAATTTTTTCTTAAATATTTTCTAAATTTATGGCTTTTTTTCTGCTTAGTTATTAACTTTTCACTGTAAAATTTCCTGTTTGTATATACATATTTTTTGTAAAATTGGCTCAAAATTGAGTTCTAAAACTTTCTTATTTTGTAAGTGGTATGGTTCAGCAAAAGCAGTAAGTAAAGTTGCATTAAAATAATTTTCAAAACTTCGCATTTAATTTCTGCATTAAAACAGTTAGTAAAGTTTCTGAAAAAACTGATTTTCTTGAATGCCTTGTATTTAAGTAATTTTATAGTTTGACTGCTTTTTTGTTACTGAATTAGTTAAGCTTTAATTATCATAATGCTTATGATAATTAAAGCTTAAATAATTCAGTTCCTAATTTAGAAAACATTTCTTCTTTCATAGTTTAAAATTGCTAGAATTTTGTTGAAATCTGAAATTTCATAAAAGGAAATATTCTCGAAATTATTTTATGGAAACTGAATGCCAAGTAGGTCTCTCTTTTTCGGGGCACGGCTGGCCTTGGCCCACTAGGGCTATTGCGCCGCTGAGTTTAGAATGCCAAGTAAGAATTTCCTTGCCATTTAGTTTTTCTAAATTCCCTCTTATTTTGTATATTTATGAAGTACCCATAAGCGTACATTTTATATTTATGCATATTTTTTAAAAAACTGATACATGATATATTATGAACTAAAAATTCTTTATAATGCCCTTCTCTAAATTTTCCCAATGATAAAGGTGTGTTTTTATGGTTATTTTAGTAATATTAGTTTGAAATATTATTTTGATAATGAGGTCATAAATATAATTTTTAAAAATGAAAATGTCATTAAGGTATTGTAAAAGATTCATAGTATCTGTACTACTAGTTATATTTAATATTGTTATTTGTGTGAATTAAGGTAACAAATATATATTTTCTCTAATTTATATATATTTCCAATAATGCTTCTTAATGTCAATTTTACAGGAGTTGATGATATTGATGCTGTTATTTCTGCACCTTCAGTTCCTGCACTGACTCATGATGTTCCAGAAACTAGATTAGTTATCACTGATCTTATAGTAAGAGATTTCAAATCTTATGCAGGAGAACAAGTTCTTGGTCCGTTTGATAAGGTTTGTATTTTTAATTTATGAATATGTATGTCACAAAAAGAACATTGTTTATATTTCAGTTGAGCAAGCAACTAGTAAATAAAGGGATGAAAAAGGAGCTTATGTTTAAAAAGTTTAAAGGAGCAAATATACTTTTGATTTATTTACAGTATTTGCATGTAATGGATAAAGATTATAAAAATAAGGGTACTTGCATATTATCCCAACCACCTTAGTCGAAGTCACCAAAATTTCAGAATGTACCCAACTGACTATGCAAATAATCATTGTTCAGGCAACCATGTACATAACAATTCTTCAGTCAAGCAGCATTACCTTTTTTTTTTTTTTTTTGTTGTAGTCCAAGTTTCAACAATTTTTATAGACAAATTGTGATACTTTTTTGCCTTAAACTCAATTTTAAAGTATGTATTTGTGGAATATGGAAGCAAAAGAAAAAAACTGCAGTAAAATGTCTACAGGAATAGAGTACTTTGCCGCAAAATGTCTAATGAGAACAATGTTGAGACATGTTGGTAAATGCGCGCAGTGCTGAGGTTACACTCGATGTCATGTTTGTGCATTTCTCTGACACTTTATGTGAAACCAGATCACTGTGTACATGGAAAGGAAAGCAGAATATATTGAGAAAAATGTAAGCATTTTTTTACATATTTTTAATAATTAAATTTTTTTATTTTAAATTTCTAGTGGTTATTTTCATTTCGTGTTTGATAATGTTTGTGTCTTATAATAAATATCAATAGCTTGTGAATCTTTAAAATGTCACAAAAATTTGCCAAGCTGCACCAAGGAGGCTGTGCTAATATGCAAGTAATGAAAAGTGAATAAAAAGTGTTAAGTAATGAAAAGACAATAAAAAGACTAATAATTTTCTAATAGGCCACCATTTTTTTGAACAGATGATAATTATTAACTTATCTTCTGTTGCAAGCAGAATTATTTACATGCTATAATTAGAAATACTACTTTCACAACTATTTTGGGTTCTGCCAGCAGCCAAGCATTAAAATTTCTGAACATTGGTATCTGTCACCTGGGTATTATTCCAAGTTCATGGGCTGCCTAAATGATTTATTTATTTTTTGGCTTTTCTCATGTGTAATGTGTATACGAACCAGTTTACGATAGAAAGTTCTCCACAAAAGCATCCCTACTCTAGGCAAATATACTAGTATGCTTTGCAATAATGAAATAAACTGAAATCACAAATATTTGTGGTTGACCCCAAAAATTAAGCACTGTTAATAAACGGAACAAGTCTGGAATAAGAATAGTTAATAGAATAGAAAAGGGTAGGTAGGCTATATGAATACAGGAATAGTGATTATGAGAAAGTTTTATGGATCCAAGGTCTAAATTATTTAGTAACAAGAAAAGTGGAATCAAATCATCTTAAAGGATTTCATTCAACATACATATATCATAGCTGCTAACTCTTTTGTTTTATCATTATATATCCCAGTTTTCTGGCATATTGCCGAATTTCCTGGTTCTTTTTAGCATTTATTGAATTGACGAAACTCGAATTGTGCAAATTTCATCCTCCATCCCTGTTGCTATTCAGGATAGTTTTTCTTATTATTTTTTAGCTGATATGAATTATAATCTATTCAGGGTTCGTACGGTCCTTAAAAGTCCTTAATTTTTCAAAAATGATTTTTGGTCCTTAAAAGTCCTTAATTTTGCTCATTTGACATTTCTTATCATTTCTAATGATTGCCATTCTAAGTGTGAATTGCGATTTCTCATGAATATGGAATTAAAATTACACGGCTCTTAACCAATCTGTTGGCGGATTTGCGTTGCAAACGATAAAAAACAGTTAGCTACCCTAGGACGAAAGTATTGGGTGGCTGATTGGCTATTTACCCAGTCTTTCGAAACAGGTGTTATCCATAAATTTAGGCAGATTGTGATGAAAGCGTGAAGCCGGAAGTTCTTTAAGAGGTGAAAGTGATGATGAAGGTGCTCGAGGAAAAAAAATTGGGGGATTCTGAAAATATTTGCCAAAATTAGAACAATCCCAACCTGGAAGGCCACAACCCCTCCAACGCCAATAGGAACGAGATGACTGGAAAGTGCATTTTCAATAAACTGTGGCTTCATCAAGCTGACTACAAGGACTGGATATTGCTGAATGACAATCCTTAAAAGCTAAATATAGTCTTTGTCTGAAACAAATTGAAATTTCTAGAATGGGAAGAGTCAGCGCTGAAAATTTCACATGAAAAGCTAAGTTTTTCGTTTTATCATTTCAATTTGTTTTTTACCATACACGATTTGCTTACCTTAATTTCTTTGTGTTTGTTTGAATTAAGCCATAAATTAATTTTTGATCACTTTCTACGAAGTTTATTTATTTATTTATTTATTTTTTGCACATATATGTATGGGATATTGGAATTATGAGTTTATTTCTGCAGAGAGTCTGTTATCGATTTCGCGGGAAATCTGTTGGCTCCATTTTGATTTTAGGTCGCCAAAGGCGAATTCAGTAACGCTAGCCAAAAAAAAAATCTGATGTGTACACCACATGACTTCCTTGTACGGAATATTAAATTATACGCATTTTTTCTTGCATTTTATTTAAACTTATTAGATTGAATTAAACCTACTTCGCTGACAGCGCATAAACCACAATAGAATAAATGCATTCTTTAAAATTCACTTTGTTTACCACAGCGACACTCTGGCACTAGGTTTACTTGACAGTATTATATTTCATTCATATTATAACTCAGAATGCACAAAATGTATATCATTTAAAGAATTATCTCATTGTTGCCACATGTTCTATTCAAATACTATAATAAAGCTAGAACTATGTATAAAAGAAATTAAGCAAACAAAACAAAAAAGAAACAGTTTTTCACAGACGATTGAGTATTTCTCGTTTAATTAATTAAGTTCTCACTTTGCGAGAAGGCAAAAATACATAAAAACTCAAAATATCTATATTAAAAATTACGAAGTAAATCTCAAACGCTTATTTCCTCGAAAAAATTCCAGAAAGAATTAAGCATGATTTAATTGGCAATAATAAATGAATGCGTTATCTTTGTTGTTGCGAAGCTAAGTTTCTCTAGATTGGCAACAAATCCACTAGTCTCCTGTTTCAAATGTAAACATCAACGGCTGCCATTAAAAACCGGCTTAGCAGCAATTAAACAACTTTAAAATTGTTGATAATTCTAAAAATATTGCACACAGATTTACTAAAGGTGTAAAATCCTTAACCGGAAGATAAAAACAACATAGTTCAATCATTTTTAAAGCAAAAAATGTACAATTTACAAACATATAAGAGTAAAGAAACTGAGATCACTGAGCCGGGTAACAGAGTGGATATCTATATAAATATATTTATATACGTTTGGTGCGGCCGATTGCAACCAAAATACGAGGTGCACATCTACATGTTATAGCAGTCCTATATACAAAATTTCAATGTTCTGAGGCTACTTGCTTTTGAGTTATGCGAGGTACGTACATACGTTCGTACAGACACCATGAAAATTTCTCTTCAGAATTAATTTTAAAGCAGCTTTATAATTTTTTTGAAGGAAAAGAGTATTTTATTCTGTCCTTACGTACAGATATCACGCAAAAGCATAGTTAAATTGCATTCAATGGCAGTCAAAATGGATATTTTCGTTGAAATATGCTGCCTGAAACTTTTCACGATTATAATACTTCCTTTTTACTTTGTACAAGGAAGTAAAAAGTGAAGTTCGGAAATACGTTTTGAAGCTTCAGTAGACAATTAAGTATTTGGTTTAATCTTATGTGCAAGGTATCCGTTGCATAAGGGATTTGGCTACTTTTGGCGACTTTATGATAAGCATTAAATGGGACATATACGATGGGTAGTTAAACGGGTCATTTTGGTGTTGGCAATAATTTTCAAAATTGCACCAAGGCTGCACCGTACTAGAATTTTACCAAGTATTTTTATAAAAGGAATACTGCTTTCAGAAGAATGTTATTGAATTTTAATATCACATCAGTTATCCAAATAGTTGGTCGATATAAAATTTCATTGTGATAATGATTGAAATTATCTTTTGTTATTAAGCTAATTTCACCTATTCATAACTAGAAATTAAAATAAAAGCTAAATCCTGAATAAAAAGTCAGTGTTGAAATGATAAAGAAAAAATAAAAGAAACGGAAGATTACTAAATTAAAAGAAAATGACCGATAAGCGGAATGGTTGCTACACGGAGAAAACGTGTTCATGGTATTGCCAATATTGCATTCTTTATGGCAATTTTAGCGATGTATACATAACGGAATCTGCAGGAATGCTTACCTAGAATATTTCGCGATGTCGCAATTTTTTATCGATATAGTACATTTTTTAAGTGTTAAAATATAATGCGTAAGAAAAATTCATACATTTTTGTTTAACAATAAAACCAATTATTGCAGAATTTTTATGTTTGCTCCATCATCTGATAGATAAAGAAATAATGTTTTAATTAAAATTTTCTTCTGTGAAGTTCTGCTTTTACCGATGGTTGCAAAATATCCCAGCAGTTGAAAGAGCCATTGAAATTTAGGATGACTTGCTACTATACATTATAAAAGTTGAAATGGGGCAGTTTAAAAAAAATTCATTGAAATCCATCTCAAATATTTTGGAGGCAACTAAAAGTAAAACATTTCTTATAAAATTAAATTTTTTTTCCTCTCTCTGTCAAAAATATTATTGCCTTTCCTTGAATATTATCAAAGCGATAAACCACTTATTCCCTTTTTTTTTGAAGATATCTTAAAACTTGTAAATGATTGCTTTTAGCACTTTAAAATTTTGAAACTAGAATATTCAAAAATAACTAAATCAGAAAATCTTTATAAATTTAATTTAATGATCCAAATTGTTATAATGATAAAAGTAAAGTTTATTTGAGCAGTTAATGATTGAAAAATGCCGCAAGAAGGACATTTCTCAAGCTGCAAGTTTTGCATTGAAACAAGGTCAACAATGTGTCTTAACAATGGTACAACACTTAATGGCTAAATGTCCAATAAATTATTCTCTTATTCGAAATGTATCTTGTATAGACCCACAGTTGATGGCTAAATGTCCAGAAAAAGCTCGGAACAAAATGAAAATAGTTCTAACGGTATTAGCGCGGAATAAACGTGTTTTACAAGATAATTGTGATGAAATTTTGCTGCAGTTTGGAGAGATTCTAGACAAAGTAGTTAAGACAAATTTACATGAATTTTCTACTTTTGATCCTCAAAATCTATCTCTTGACACATTTCTCACTTCTTATTTTCATGATTTTCACTATTCTAAAGTATGGAAAATAGTGAAAATGATTCTTATCTTGTCACATGGACAGGCCTCTGTGGAAAGGGGCTTCTCTGTAAATAAAGCAATTGAAATTGAAAATTTAAGTGACTCATCATACATTTCTCAATGCACAGTTTTTGATTACATAAAATTTTCTCGAGGTATTCTTAATATCGAAATTAATAAAGAAATGAGATCAGCAGCAGCTTCGATAGATGCTTTTAGCAGATGAAGCCGAGACCAGCAGGAACATTGATTTGTTTATCAAAGCAAATGAACTTAGAAGAATATTTAAAGAAAAGGAAATAGACATAAATAAATTAGATGTTAAAATATCTGAAAAAATTTCAGATTTTAAAAAAGTATAAATGTTTTGTATCTTTTATTGTATAGTTTATTATTCTAGTATCTTTCAAAAAACCAAAGAAATAAATTGTATGTTTACAAATCTGTTATTTTAATCTGCAAAATATTCTTACATTGCAATTGTAATAGTAGTTGACTGTGTTTAAATAAATATCAAATAAGTTAAATAATAATCATGTAAATCTCTAAAATATCTGTGGCTGTTATTAGTGTAAAATACACTTATACATGTTTTTTAAGAAATTATGTTCTTAATTTAATGTTATCTACTTCATAACTTGTAGGGAGTTAGTTTAATTTTTAAAATTGTTTTATGTTAAGTATTAAATTGAATTTAATAATAGTGCATAATACACACTTCTGTTAGTTTCATAAATGGATAATTGCTTTATTCTATTCATTTTTTTTTGTTTGTTTGCTGATAGGTCCTTAATTTTTTCTTTGATGGTCCATAAAAGTCCTTAAGTCCTTAATTTTCATGTAAGGAAATGTGTACGAACCCGGTCTATTGTAGACATTAGGAGAACTTTTTATGAAATTTCATTCATGTTTAGTTCCTGCTAATATTTGTTTTTATTTTTTTTAACATAAATAAGTGATATATTATTGAGCTTATTCACATAGCAGTATGTACACTGTGCAAAAAAAAAGGGGGAGACAGTTCTGTATCTCCCTTTCTACTGGAGCGATTAGCAAAATTCAAATTGCATTTTTCGTGTCTCGAAAGCACAGCATAGCATATACATTAGATTTATATATAGCATTGTTCTAGTATAGGTATTTTGATACAAAATCTGACATTTTCAGAAATGGCATGTCAGTTTTTTTCCATATTTCAATTCTAGGACTCAAATTATGCCTGAATGTTAAATTTTTAAAATTTGGTGCAAAATTTATGGAAAAATTCATCTTGAATAATAAAGGCTACATAGTTTTATATACACAAATTCTATATCATTTTTTTCAGTTTGCGCCAAGAATAATTCATGTGGCGAACTCCTTAATATATGGAAACCGATTTTCCTTTCCCTTTTTACATTTACCTTTCCCTTTATATTTTCCTACTTTCAAATAATTTTATCAAAGTGCCTAATCTATATTTGATGTTAGTATCGCTTTCAACAAATATACCAAATTTCAAAACGCTCCAATATATAAATTCTCATATATCTTTGGAAATTTTGATTAAAAAACTCCTTTTTTTTGTAGGTAATCGTAGAAATACATCTACTTTAAGATGCTGGTAAAAATTTTATAGATTATAATTCAAAAATTTTTTTGAAAAATTTATAAAAATTATTTAAAAATACTTTAAAAATAAATCATAAAAAATTAGTAAATTTTATTTAGAATGAACCTAAATTTTGAAATGTGAAAGGACGAATCAAATAAGTGTAGTAAAAAGAGATTAATAAATATATACAAAATTCAATTAACATGGAGGGATCAAATTTTGAAAGGTAATGATTTTAAAAACTATTTGTGCGATTTTTACAAAACTTGGCAGTTTGGCATAATTTCAATTGTAGAATCGAAATATGGGAAAAAATTGGCATGTCATCTCAGAAAGAGTCTGATTTTGTGTCAAAATAATATAAAGAACAATGCAAATCTAAAACATATTCTAAGTGACGCTTTCGAGACATGAAACACAAGTTGAATTTTGTCAATTGGAACAGTAGGACAAGAGGTATAAACCTATTCCCCCCTTTTTTTTTGGCATTTAATGTACACACATTAACTATTAATTTCAGTTTCAAAGTATTTAAAAATACTTTGATATATTAAAAAGCTTAACTTCTCTTCTGAGGATTTTTTCAGAATAAAAGAGTGAGAAAATTACGAAATGAAATTAATTAAAGAATATGAAATTTAGAATATCTAAATATGAATGTATTTCACATCAAAATCATATTATAAATAATTGAATAACCTGAATCATGCATCATAAGGTAAATTTAAGTCAATTTCTAATCCTTTTGAAATGGTGCCACTGTGTAATGTGAAATAATTTCCAGTTTTTCATATTTCAAGGCCTGCAGCTGTTCTATATCTTATTTCTAAATTTTCTTAGAATCTGTATCTCTCTCTTAAAAAAAAAATAAAAAAAATAAAAAATGCTTATTTGTTATCATGGTTGGATTTCCTTATTAATTTACATTATGTCCCTGACATGTTGTGTTTTTGCTTCTAATTTTATGGAAGTGTATGTGTGATGGTATGTTATAAGAAATAATAAAGTTTATTACTAATCAAAAATGTGAAATAAAAAAAATTCCAATCAATTTATGTTCTATAAAACATACATTAGCAACTGATTTTTATGCCAAGTTATGCACAGCCTTGGGAATTCCCTGTATTTTTAAAATTGAAGGATTCCGCTGTATTTCTAGACCTACGGGATTCCCAATGTGTAACGATGAATTAGGAAATAGCCAGGGAATCACCAAAACCGTGATTTTAGGTGATTTCCAATGCAGCTGCTATAAAATACCAAAAATGTTCCCTCTGGTGTTATTATAACTCGCCACGTTGGACTGTTGCATTTGCATTAACTACTCAGATTCGTAAGTGATAGCAACTGTCAGTTCTTATTCTCTGGTTTTTTATTTTATTTTTTTTTAAATTTAATTTCATAGAGGCATTAATTTTTGTTGCTACTTTTAAGTTACTTTCGTAAATTTTATGAGAAAAACAAAAAGCTCGTTAATTTCGTGGAACCCTTGAGTGATCCTCACAGAACCCCAGGGCTCTGTGCAACACAGTTTTAGAAACAGTGGTGCATTGTGTAGCTTTCATTGAATACCTTTACCATTTTGTAGAGATTTTTAAAAACTATTTTTTATTTAGAATTTTACTGCAATTGTTGGACCAAATGGAAGTGGGAAGTCAAATGTCATCGATGCTTTACTTTTTGTGTTTGGTCGCAGATCACAAAAGATACGTTCCAAGAAAATTAGTCAACTAATTCATAAAAGTGAGCTTTATCCAAATTGCAACAGCTGTTCTGTTACTGTGAATTTTGCAACTATAAAAGATGAGGTATGTATTTTTAAATAACAAAGTTTCATTTCCATTGAAAAATAAACATATATTTTAATGGCATTGATCTTTTTATTATAAAATGTATCGGATATCTAGTATACATATATAGACTGTAAATGCCAAATATTTGGCTATAACTGGATTTAGTGATTATTTGGCTAAATATCTGGCATGTTTTATATGCATAAAAATTTAAAAATTTGAAGGCCTTTAATGAATTTTTTTAATTTAATGGTACTGAGTAATGGCAGAAGGAATTGCCTATCAGAACCTAGATATATATTGTCTATGTGTTTTTGCTGTGTCGCTATCATCTATTTCAAGTGCATTCATTTGGAGGTAATTTCTATGATTAAAAATTTCATATTGCAATCTCATCAATATTTGATTCTGGGAGAAAGTGATAAAAATAATTTTATCACAGGTCCCCCCCTTCTCTTTAAAGTCCAAATGGGTTGTTAGTCTGGAAGCATAATTTTGTGTTGTGTCATTTTTTCATTCAAGTCTGTTTCCATTCATCAAAATATGAGACATTTATCAATCTGTTATTGATGAACAAACTAAGCTATTTAAAAGCAATAAATGCAGTTCTTAAAAATTTTTTTAATTTTGAATTACTTTACAATAATTTTTCTTTTGAATTAGATTCAGTTAACTAAAAATGCATTTAAATCATGATATACCTAATTAAAAACATTAAATATCTTTATAGTTACATATTTTTTCATTGTAACCTGCTGTTTCACTTTTCATTTGAATCTGTTGCCATTTCCAAAAATCTGTATATTATTAAAAAAACTAAACTATTTAAAAGCAACGGCTGTTCTTAAATAATATATATATATATATATATATATATATATATATATATTTTTTAACTTTTTGATCTGATTGATTTAAATGAAAATGAATGTAATTCATGATATATCTAATTAACAACATAATTTTTTTTATGGAATTATATCTCATTATATATTTTCTGTATATTCTTTTAAATATACAGAAGCTTGTTCCCCTGTTAGTCTAAATGCATATTCATTTAATATCGTATAAATTACTCACAGTTCCACCTGTGCCATGTTATCAATAATTCTACATATAAACTATACGAAACTTAAAGGGCCATTTTAGGTAATCATTAAAATCTGAACAATTTCAGTTTATTTATTTATTCATTTAATTTGTGTGTGTGTGTATGTTTTAGATAGTTACATTTTATGGGAGGGGAACTTGTAGATTTTTATGTCATTTGAGAAGAGAACAAGCATTGTCAAGTAATATAATAAATAATATCAAATGAAACAAAATAAACATAAAACATTGGAGCTGTTTCATGAAAATCAAAGGCATTTAATATCCCCATGTATGTGAGGAAAGAAATTAATTAAAAAAATTTCCTTTCGTTTATTTAAGCTGATGTTGTAACTGAAACATTTGCTGATTTTTCATCACATCTTTAGGTTTCCTGGCAGATCACCAAATGTCCTGGTTTTTAATTTTAGTTTCTACTAAAGAATATATTTTAGAGCGATTGAATTAATGAAACTTCTACAAATTCCATTCCTTCACTTCTACTGATTTTCAGTATAATTTTTTTTGTTAAATTTTATATGAATTATCTCAATCTTCTGTAGACATCTGTTGAACTTTTATGAAGATTTAACTGATTGTAAGCCAATTAATAATTGCATTTAATTTGTTTTGCATCAATAAATAATTCATCACTGAATTTATCCACACCATAGTATATACCAGGGGTGGCCAAGCTCCTTGATAGTCCGAGCCATTTTTCAAAATTTGAAATTTTTCGCAAGGCGCAATTAAATACGTATTTAAAAGGTATGCAAAAAAGGTATTAATTTTTTTTACAGAAATTATACTTATTGAAAATATACAAATAAAAGTATAAAATATGTGTATTGGATTTAAATATTAAAAATTAAACACATTTATTTTACTTTTGATAATTCTTTAAAATTTGTTGAATAATTGGTGACAGCACTTCTCAGTAATTCTTTGAGATGCTGGTTAGTTAATACTGATTGGTGTTTGGATTTCATGAATTTTAAAGTGGAATAAAATTATTCACATGAGTACGTTGTTCCGAATATTGAAATAATTCGACAAACAGCCTTTTTTAATTCGAAATACTTTGATTCTGGTACAAATTTCCAAAATTCAGTAATCGACGTAGACTTATATTTTAATTGTAGAGCTTGATATTCTTGCATCTTTATTAATTCTAATTCTCCAGATGCTTTTTGGGTCATAATTATATTAGAAATGGAAAACTCACCTTGAATTATGTTAATTTCAAATGGATTCAGAAAAAAATGAAGAGACAATTTTAAATATTTCAAGTCTTGAAATCTATTTTGGAATTCCGTCAATATTCCTTCTAGCATTTTTATATACTCGTTGAGTTTTTCTTGTTTAATATTGGAACAAACTTTTTTAATTCGAGGAAAATGACAAAATGTTTTATTTTTAATGTCCTTTTGAAAAAGTTATAATTTAGTTTGAAAACTAAATATGCACTATGAGAGGTCTGATATTATTTTATCTTTCCCCTGCAATTGTAAATTCAGTGTTTGCAAATGTTCCATGACATCAGTCAAAAACATTAAATCTTGTAACCACTCTGAATTCTGAATAGGTTATTTCCTTTTCTTTTAGAAATGCAGTTATAGGATCAAACAAATCTACAAATCGATTCAATATGTTGTATCTAGATAACCGTCTAACAGTGGAAAAGAAATTAATGTCATTTGGAAGTTCTTCGTCCTTTAATTCTTCAAGGAGATTTTTGAATTGTAGATGATTTTTTGCATTGGTGCAAATGTAATTTACAATGTGTAACACTGTTTTCATAACATCAGGATATTTTAAATATTTTCTAACGAGATTTCTTGGTGAATTATGCAGTGAATTGGTATGAATTATGGAATTTGAGAGTCATCTCTTAAAAGCCCAATAAGATATTTTTTTTTACCCAGCCTTGCTGGAGCTCCATCAGTTGCAATGCTTACAAGTTTATTAAGAGGCACATCAAAAGTTTTCATCGTGGAATCTTCTTTAACAACGAAGTCAGGTGAAACAAAACGTATGAAAACCGCCAGTTGCGGAAGATCTGTAATATCTTTCGATTCGTCAAGATCTAAGCTGAATACAATACAATTCTTTAAATCATTTTAAAATTATATTCAAGAGATGTATTAATTGCAGTTATGAATCATTCAGTTGTGTGTCTTGAGATGGGAATTTGTGAAACAACTTTGTGCAATGCTGCATTATGTTGATCTAAAACTTTTAAGTACATTTTTTAAGTTTTTTTAATAAACTCTCCCTCTCAATATGGGCCTTTTGCACGAGCAATATTCCAGGCAATAATAAAACTGGCTTCCACATTATTAGCTTGATTGCTAAAGGTCATCAAAACTGACTGTTGTGTATTTAAATTTGATTTTAAAGAAGCAAGTTTATCTGATCTTAATCTGGAATTTGATGGATTATTAAACTGACTATAATTAGAAAACTGAGCATGATTGATTTCATAATGTCAACATAAATTGCTATCTTTATAATTTTTGACCGAAGAATTATAAATAACATGTAATGCTTTTCTGTTATTGTCAATAAAAAAGAAATTATCCTCCCAATCATTATTAAAACTTCTATTTTCTTTTTTTATTTTCGTTCTCTATCATCATATTTTTAAAAGAACTGGAAATAAATAAATAAATTTAGAAAAATACAAAGTGTTTAAAACAATAACAACACGTGTTATTTAAACGAATTAATAACACCAAAAATTTCAGAACAAATTAAACGTACAGAGTGATACAAATTGTTTTCCACAGCACATCAACGTTTCAATAAAATGCATACTCAAAATCGGTCTAACGGTCGATTTCGTAGGCCGTCATTCGTCGAGAAGTCGGGCAGACAAGGCTGGGCCATCCCAATTCATGAGGCAGTCGAAGGGGAAGAAAATCCGATGAACAGAACTGTTACGCCACTGTTTATGTTCGTCGTACATTTTTTGATGAGTTATCTCATTCTTAACTTGGACGGAAAGGAAATTTGTTACAACGTTGCACTTAGTCTTTCATATTTGTTGTCAGTAATTTAAAAGACATTTTGAAACACAAACGGAATGATAATAATTTTTAAAAATATAATAACACAAAAATGAAAAGGGAACTCGGGTACATTTATCGGGAGCCACAAATAATCCTTCAAAGAGCCGCAGGTTGGCCACCCCTGGTATATACATTAAACATTAATTTTATTTTCCTTATGGTAAAAAATACATTCCTAAATAAAAGCTTTTCTTCCCTACTCTACATTTTCTCAGTACAAATGTGCAAGAAAATTATAAAATGGGCATTTTCTTGTTTTTTCCCATGTGTAATGTGTATATAAGTCAGTTTTCCGTAGGAAGTTCTCCATGAAGGGATCCCTTACCTTAGGCAGATAGGCCTCTAGGCTTTGCTGTAATCTCATAAACCAAACGAAACCACCACAGAATCAATTTTTAAGTAGTTAACCTGATTATATGTTATAAGTAAAACATTGAATTTATAATTAAATATTAACATGTTTTACACATAATCACATTCTAAATAGTTCTATAACCTGATTATACAATATTAGTACTATGCATTGTAAAGCGAATTTAAGTCAGTTTAGACGTCTTTTGAAATGACATCATCACATTTGAAATGACACATCATCATCTATCAGATTCTTCCTAGTTTTTCATATTTCAGGGTTGATAACCATGTGATTTTAAAATTTATGGGAGGGTTTTATTTTTCATTTAGTAATTAGTTTATCACCTGAATTTTTTCTTATCTATCTTTGTGTAGTTTGTTACGGTTTTAGATTTGTTGTAATATGTTTTAAATTTCATTTTAGGGTGATAAATATACAGTGCTTCCTGATTCAAGATTTACGCTTTCAAGGACTGTTTTTTCAAATGAAACTTCCTATTATGAAATATGTAATAAACGGGTTAGATTTTCAGATCTGCAAAGTACTTTAAGTGCATATGGAATTGATTTGGTTCATTGTCGTTTTTTAGTATTACAGGTATAAAAATCTTTTCCTTTCCCTTTATATATATATATATATATATATAATTTATCAAGCAAAGCAGTAATAACAATTTTGGTCAAGAAAACATCTTGCGCAATATGCTGCAAAATAAGTAAAAAATAAAAATTGTAGAAAGCTCGCCTAAAAGTTACCAAGAGCTGCTGCTCCAAAAGGTTAAAGACGTTTTCAAAAATTAATACACATGAAAAGCAAATCATTAGACATGTAAAACATAAATACAATAAAATTAAAATAAAATTAAATTAAAATTAAAATTAAAATTAAAATAATATATATATATATATATAATTACATTTTATATGTTATTAATAATTTTTTAAGAGGAAAATTTTATCTTCCGTTATTTAATGAAATTGTTATTTTATTTGCAATTTTTCTACCCAAAGCTTTTAAATAAGCTTCTTAAGTTTTGTGAGAATTATTTTGATACTTGTTTTTTATTGGTACTCACTAATGCACAAGTAATATTTCAGCACTTTTTTTTTGGGGGGGGGCGTCTGGTGGATATTGGGTGCAGTGCATTCTAAATACCATATGGTAGATTTTTATTTTTTGTAACTTGTAGTTGGTGCTTTCATTTGAGCTGTCATAAGCAAACAAAATGATGACGTGTTTCACCCTGCTAACACTTATTCCTCCATTTTGTGTGCTCCCACATGTGTTGCATTGTTGGCATATGGGCTGCAGTCTTGGTATCAAAATTGACATTAAAATAATAAAAAGACACATTACGTTTCAGAGTTGCGATTTTTGACCTCTCTCCCGCCAACCTGATTTACAATATATTTCTCCCGACTTTTTCTTATTCTTAAAATTCATGATTTTTATGGAATTTGGCTTAATACTTCGTTATATGAACAAACAAACAAACAAACAAACAAAAAAAAAAAAAAAAAAAAAAAAAAAAAAGGATTTTGGATGTCTGAAAGCAATTGAATTTTCTCTAGATTATATCTAAAACAAAACCTTGCGAATCAGATGAGAATTTCTGCTTTGTGAGTGAGAGCATACGTATCCAGAAGCGTTGTTCTATAGTTCTCCAGTAGTCATCGAGCTCCACTGTGTGTCATCTGGCATATATTACCCAATGAGCACAAAGTAAGATCAAGGCTGTTATTTGGATGTTCTTTAGTTATTTCGTTCATCTTGTCCCAAGTTGTGCGAGTATACGTGCCTTTGGGAAATAGTTTTAGAAATTATCATCTTTTGTTATGTCTGCGAGAAAGGTGAAATACTCGTGTACGTTTCAAAAATCGTACACAGTTGACTTTCCTTCCATTATTTCCTCATCAAAATGTAATAAATTTGCGATGTGTACCATCTGTCGTTGCGATTTTTCGATTTCGCATGGTGGAAGGGCGGATGTTCTCAAACATGTGCGTACACAAAAACACAAGGACAACATGAGTTGTTTTGAAAAAAATGAAAAATTAATTTTTTTCGGAAACAAAGGACCAAAAAGTTATTAATGCAGAATGTCTGTTCTCTACTTTTTTACTGGAGCACAGCGTGCCACTGAATGCATCGGATCACGCTGCAGCTTTATTTAGAAAATTGTTTACCGAAAGTGAAATCGCTAAGAAATACTCAAGTACAAGGACCAAAACTGGTGCAATTGTTAAAGAAATGGGTTTGAAAAATGAATCTTGAGTTATTGATTGCAATAAAACAGCTTCGTTCTGCCTCTCTACAGATGGAAGCAATAATACCGATTCAAAACTGTATCCAATTGTTGTTTCTTTTTTTAATACAGAGTCATCAGAAATTGAGTGCAGTTTACTTTCTGTCCCCACTTTAGAAGGACATTCGACAGGCTTTAATATAGCACAGCTAATTATTAAAACCTTAAAAGAAAATGCAGTTCCTCTGGATAATTGCTTAGCACTTGGTGCTGATAATGCACCGGTAATGGTAGGCGTGAAGACTGGTGTTGCAGGCATCTTAAGAAAGGAAAATTCAGATTTGCAGATTATGAGGTGTACCTGTCACCTCTTAAATTTAGCAGCTGGAAAATGGGCAGCTTTTTTACCAATAAATGTGGATGAACACATTGTTGATATTTATTATTATTATCTTGAAAGGAGTTCTAAAAGGAAGGGAAAATTGAAATAGTTCCAAAAGCTGCATAATTCTGAAATGAGAAAATTTTTGAAACATGTTTACACGCTGGCTGTTTTTAAAGAGATGCTTATCTAGAATCCTCGATCAATGGAACCCACTTCTTGCATTTTTTAAAGAAGAATTAAATGCTTCGAGAGTTAAGATAAAAGGCTCTATTGAAAGTTATAAAATACCTAAAGTATGGAGATGTAGTTACTACTTCCATTGTTAAAAATAGGTTTGTGAAAAATAAAGTAATTTCTGCACCATTCAGCAATTCAACTGGCAGTTCTCAAAATAATACTGCAAAATATAAGCGTAAAGCTGATACAGATTTCTCTCAAAATAAAAAAAATTGCTCAACACACAAAAACATTTTCCAATTACTGTAAGTTTATCTTGTGAAGAACAAATATTTATGTTTTTTTCTTCAGACCTTAACAAAGCTTTTTGCTTTTTTTTACAATTCATTTTGCCATAATTTGATGTGTTTAACACTTCTACAAAGCAGAATTCTATTAATTCATGTTTTGCAATCAATGATTTATGATCTGTTTAAAGACATGTTATCAAAGTTTGTAAAATCAGTCTGTGTTTCGTCTTGTAATTCTATATGTGATGTGATTTATGGTGAAATAGAAAATCAGAAGAAAGATGAAGATTTGGTAATAGGAGCTGCAACTACAAAAGTAGTGGAAGAACTTTCAGAAGAAGACAAAAATAAGTTTTATCTTCATGTTAGAAGATACTTCTGTTGAGTATGTGATTATATACTACATAAATTTCCAGTCAATGATGAAGTGATTTTGCATGCTAAAGTTGCTGATGTTTCTGCTCTAGCAAATGCATCTTTTTCTGATATAAGGTACTTTTTGAACAGATTTTCTGTGTTACTTCATTTAGTCATGAAAGATGATGATATTGATGTTGCCATTGATAAATATTGCAGTCGCAATTTTGCAGTTACAATTAGAAAACTTGGATGAAGTTATAAAATCAGCTAGGATTGTCACCCAGTGGAGTTTAATTGGAAAACTGAAAGGTGGTGATGGAATTTTAAAATATAGTAGTGAACTGTCTAGAATTATGTTGGCCATCTTGACAATTCCCCATAGTAATGCAGAGTGTGAGAGGATTTTCAGTGTTGTTGCGAAAACGAGGACTAAATTTAGATCTAATATTAGTGATGACACATTAGAAAAACTTTTATTTAGCGAAAGCAGGCCTACGTGGCAATTGCTATGAACAAAATTATGAAGTTTCTTAACGAAAGCAAAATCGGCCACTGTTCATAAGATTTGTACGAAAACTAATTAAAGTGTCTTTTTTTTTCTTAAACGATGTAAGTAATAAAATGTTTTTTATGTGTAAGGTATTTTATGTTGGTTGCATTTAAGAATTTTTAACTATTTAAAGTTAGTTCATTATTAAAAACCATATTTTTATCATTTAAAAAGTCTTTTTAACATTGTGAAAAATCTCCTGATTTTTGAGTGTCATAAGTTGGCAAGTATGCAATTTATTTTGATGTGATTTTGTTTAAGAACTAAGTAGCGAAATACAATTGAATTTCAAAGACTAAAAATGTTTTTCTTTCTAACTCTGATTTAAAAAAAAATAGAGACAAATTAAGCTAAGGAAAACTAAAATGCGGGAATTTATAAATAACTCCTTCACTAATTAGTTTATTTAGCTAGATGATATTACTGTCTTCAACAAACTATTTAAAAAAAAAAAAAGCGGTAAGACAACAGTAAAGCTTTCATATTTTATCCTTGGAAGGATTTTCATTTTAATTTATGGCTTTTTATTAAATTATATTTTATAGCAGAAAATATGAAAATTGTTTCATTGATATGTGTTATGACTTCTAATTGTTATTTAAAAAAGGAAATGATTCAACAAGCTTAGCATGTATGGCAAATAGCTGCATTCTGATCTTTTAGCTCAATGTCATATTTATAATATTTCAGTATTAGCACAGAAATTGCAATCAGCATTAACCACTTAACAGTTTCTTTATTCTGTCATATTATGACAAAACATAAGTATATTTTTGATAAACATTTTTATGAAGAAATTCATTATATAAACCCAAATCAGCAGTCAGAACTATTACAAGTGTTGAAGTTATTAATTTATGCTAATTTTTATTTTTATTGTAAAAAGCACATTTTTCCTTAAAGTTGGCTTTTTTTTGAACAAGTAAGCGAAGTGGAAAGAACACTTTACAAAAATAGATGTCAGAATTTAAAATGTTTTATTGTTATTACATTAATTTTCCTTTTAAAGTTCAGTTTTTGTATGATAAATTTTAAAACAGGGAGACAAGCTTAGTCCAACATCACAATCAGGACAAAAATATTGTGTTTCTTTTCTCACTCGTTTTCCAAAATCGTTTCTTTTCGAGCAACACACAAAACATTCATTGCCTTGTTGGTCTCAATTTTTTATCAGTGGGAGTATCTCATTATCATTCATTTCTTCTTTTATTTTAGCTCCAAATTTAAAAGAAATAGTATTTGCAGTAGCTGGAACACCGAGCTACTGAAAAGAAATTTTGTGCCTTTACTTGCGTAAAAGAATTTAGTAAAACTTAACCTTGAAACCAGTTGTTTTGCAATTCTAACTTTACTCGATTACTAGCGCTATCTGTTAGAAACATTACACACTAAACAAGCAAAAAATTTGGGCAAATCAGTGTATTAGACTAGAAAAAAATGTTGCCCGAACACACGCATGCACACAATTTTTTTTTTTTTAGCTATGTAAAGCATTCCAATAAAATGAGAAAGCCACTCAAAAGACTGCGTAGTAAAGTTAATAAAAATACATTTCTGAGGAATAAGATCGACTTATCCTTTTGCACATTT